GCATTTAATCCATTTATGTTTAATGTTAATATTGATAGGTACTTGTTTGTCACCATTTTTATTCCTTCTTCCCTTTCTATTTCTAATTTTTACAGCAGTCCCTTTAGCAGTTCTTGCTTTGCTGGCTTGGTGGTAATAAACTTCCCTAGCCCTTTTTTGTCTGCAAAGCTCCTGATTTCACCTTCAATTTTGAATGATTGCCTTGCTGGGTATAGTATTCTTGGATTCAGTCCCTTGCTTTGCATGACTTTGTATATTTCATTCCATTTCTTTCTGGCCTGATGTGTTTCTGTTGAGAAATCAGTTGATATTCTATTGGGAAATCCCTTGTAGGTAATTTTCTGTCTCTCTCTGGCAGCCTTGAAGATTCTTACTTTGTCGTTGATATTTGCCAATTAATTATGATGTGTCTTGGTATCAGTCTTTTTTGGTTCATCTAGTTTGGGACTCTATGTGCTTCTTGGACTTGTGTGGTTTTATTCTTCCCAACATCAGTGAAGTTTTCTGTCATTATTTCTTCAAACAGATTTTCTATTCCTTGCTCCACTTCTTCTCCTTCTGGCTCCCCTATTATGTGGATTTTGTTTCATTTCATATTATCCCCAAGCTCCCTTAGGCTCTCCTCCTGCTTTTTAAGTTTTCTCTTCAGTTGCTACTATGCTTGGGTGGTTTTTTAAAAATATTTTTTTTATTGATTTTAGAGAGGAAGGGAGAAGGAAAGAGATAGAAACATCAATACTGAGAGAGAATCGTTGATCGGCTGCCTCCTGCACACCCCACACTGGGGATCAAGCCCGCAACCTAGGCATGTCTCCTTGACTGGGATCGAACCTGGGACCCCTCAATGCACAAGCCAATGCTCTGTCCACTGACCCAAACCAGCTAGGGGCTGGGTGGTTTTTTCTACCTTGTCTTGTAACTCACTGATGCGGTCCTCAGCAGCTTCTAGTGTACTGTTGAAACTTTCCATTGTGTTTTTTATTTTGCCTGTGTCATTCTTCATTTCCCCTTGATTCTTACACGTTATTGAATTTGTCTTTCATCCTTTTCAGTGTCCTTATAACCATTGCTCTTAATTCTTTCTCTGACAAATAGCTTGCCTCCATTTCATTTATTTTTTTTCTGTTGATTCTTCCTTTTCTTTTGAATGTGGTTTATTTCTTTGTCTCCCCATATTTGTTGTTTCTTTGTGATTATTTCTACATATCAGATCAAACTGGTATGCCACCTAGATTTTTTGAGTTTGTCTTATACAATAGATGTTTTGTAGGACTTAGTGGTGCAGTCTTTCCAGTCTTTTGGGATGGGCAATCTAGGGATGGCCCTTACTTGGAATATATGGGTTCTCTTCTTATATTTGTGTCTTGAGTGTTATTGTCTCATTCGTGGATGGAGTCTCCTCTCCAGGTGTCTGGTTATGTGGCTCGCTCTCTACCATGTCGTGCCAACCATTATGGAGGTGCTGACTGAACAGCACAAAATAAAACATAAGACACGACACAAAAGGAACAGAACACTTTACACAAGACACCTATAACCCCAATAGGAGTGGCCACCAGAGAAAAGAGAATTAGGAGAGAGAAAAGAGAGCAAAAAAGATCACAAGAAAAGAAAAAAAAAGAAGAAGAAAAAGAAAAAAAGGAAAGAATATGTAGAGACAACACAACAAAACAAACAAATAAACCCAAAAGCACAAACAAAACACACCCAGAAGAAGCGGGGTCAGAATCTGTAGAGGCAGAGCTTAAATACAGAAAAAAAGGTTAAGGGGTTGGATGAATAGGGGAAGAACCACTGTTTAATATAGAGGAGGAAAAAGAGTGGATAAGAAGAAAAAATATGTATTTATTTTTTAATTTTGAAAAGGAGAATAGAGGAGAGAGCAGATAGGCCTGAATTTAGGAAGTGAAACTAATTAAAAAAATTAGTAGGAGAAAGTAGCAAGAGAGGAGAGGGGAAATAATATTGAGTGGTTAAAAAACAGAAAAGAGAAGGGGAAATGGAGTAGGAGCAGGGAAGAGGAGATTAGATATATGAATAAGCCAACGAGACTACAATAATAATAACACATCAGTAAAGCAGATAAAGAAAATTACTTTTTAACAAGTGGTAAAAAGAAAGAAAAGGTAAAAGCTAAAGTGGGGAAAGTAGAAGAAAAACAGGATGAAAAAGGGAGAAGCGAGGAAGAAAGGTAAAAATAAATAAAATATAATAACAATTAAAAAATAAAATAAATACATAATACTAAAGAAATTCAAAATTTTTAAAAAATATTAACCCTTTTCAGTCCAACGTCGAGGCTGACTCGACAGACCAGGCACTAGGAGCAGGTCCAACGTCGAGGCTGAGGTCGACACCGCAAACCGGTTCAACATTCAATCCCGTCAATTAATTTGGACCAGACTGTTTGAATTCCAAAAATAAAATTGGACCGCAAAGGGTTAAAAATGTGGTGTCATTCGCTTTAGCTGTGTTTTAATGCCCCATTAGGACCCTACTCTTCTTTCTGCCAATTCTGGGCTTCCTGTTAGGTAGTTAGTTCCTGACCACTGTCAGTCACTGTCTTTGGCGATTAGCACCATGTTGAATCTCCAAGCTATCCACAGCTCCTATGCTTGTGTCTATCTCCACAGGCATTGACTGCAAGCAGGCGGTACCAATCTACATGCTTTGCCTGTCTGCCAGCTGTCAATCTTAATTACTCAAGCATCTGTTTCTGTCAGCGCTTAAGTGGGGTTGGTGCTGTTTCTCTATCTGGGGATCAGATGGATGTATTTTTCCTGACCCAGGGCCACTCCTCCAAGAGTGGCCCAAAATATAGCTCTGGCCTTTGTTGGTCAGAGATCCTTGTATGGAGACCAGTGGGTTTGGCTGGCAGCCTGGTGTTTTTATTAGTCTGGTTCCCAGAACAGTGGGGTGCACTGTTGGCCTCTTCCAACCCAGCCACTGAGGGCTCTTTGGGGCTATTCAGAGCCTTTGTTTCCTTTGTATAGCTCAGAATGCAGGCAGGATGTGGCAGGCTGTATTCCCTACCTTGAGACCACTGGGAAGGGCTAGCTCTTCTGGGGAGGAATGGGCACTTGGGTTTGCAGTGGTTCTCAACCCTTTAATACAGTTTCTCATGTTGTGACCCCCAACCATAAAATTATTTTCGTTGCTACTTCATAACTGTAATTTTGCTACTGTAAACAATATGTAATTATATATGTGTTTTCCGATGGTCTTAGGCGACCCCTGTGAAAGGGTCGTTCGACCCCCAAAGGGGTCGCGACCCACAGGTTGAGAAACGCTGGTTTAGAGCGTTAGGAAGAGTCTGGCCGGGTCTCACTACCCTGCCTCTCCTCGGGCTCTACAAATCCATACCTCTCCCTGCACCAGAGCCTAGCGTGAGTTTTTTTTAACTGAAAAGTCCTATAATCTGGGTTTAGCAAATAAAAGTAAAGACAAAACAAAACAAAAGCAAAACAACCACGTAACTGTGGGTTTCTCTCCCCATGGCACTGAACCACTTGGGTTGCTTTTCAGGCTGTCTTTTGGGGCACAGCTCCCTGTGACTGTGATCCCAGGTAAATTCCCCAGGCACTAGCAGCCCTGGGGTTTTTACTTTTTCACAATTGGGTATTATGCCTGTTGCTAAGGTGACGCTGCTTTGGTGCAATGCAGCCTCCACCTCACCTTCTCGGCACAGACGTCAGACATCCCTCTCTACCACAGATCCCCACTCCTACCATTCTCCAGGCATCCTCTGCCCTTCCTTATTGAAAATTATCTTCTCAGCTGTTTCTAATTTGATAATTCTAGGTGGATGTTCTCCAATTTAGTTGCTTTTTCCAGTCTGGCCCTGGGCGAAGATGCATGACATGTCTGCCTATTTGGCTGCCATTTTCTTCCCCTCCCTATCTTTATACTGCAGAACTTTGTATCTTTTCAGTTATTCTTCCTTTTTAATTGATTCACTGTTTTATTCTTCACCATAAGATAGTTTCTGTGATAATTCTTATGTTAGAGCTAATGTTACTTTTTTAGTTCAGTTTTGAAGTCAAACTGATTTCAAATATAGATACAGAAAATTGCATCAATAAAATCTGAATTTTTTGGACTTTTGATTATTCCTGAAATCTTTTTTGTTTTTTTAATGAGTGGAGGAAAGTGAAAAAACAAAAAAAAAACACCAAAGACCAGCAAAAGGAGAAAAAAATTTTTCATAAGTGGACCCTATTACCTCTTTTCTGATACAAATTAAGTTATTTAAAAGGATATGTAAACTTTTTTTCTGTCTGTTAAGCAGACATAGATCTACTTTAAAATGGGGGGAAAATTAGAAAATATTATGTGATTAATCAACAATCATTTACACTGTGTGCTTTCTTTGTATCAGGCCCTGCGTTAAATACTAGAAGTACTGGGGTGAAACGATTGGGGAGAATACTTGCCTATCAAAGTAGTGTTTGGAAGTCTGAGGGGAGTGTAGGTTTTTAAAAATATATTTTTATTGATTTCAGAGAGGAAGAGAGAGAGAGAAACATCAATGATGAGAATCATCGATTGACTGCCTCCTGCATGCTCCACACTAGGGATCAAAATGGCAACCTGGGCACGTGCCCTGACCAGGATTTGAACCGTGACCTCCTGGTTCATAAGTTGAAGCTCAACCACTGAGCCATGCCAGCCAGGTGGGGAGTGTGGATTCTTTGTCCCACAGTATTTATAATGTCAGTATTTGTGGCTCAATTGGTTGGAGCATCATCCTGTACACCAAAGATTGCAGGTTTGATTCCTGGTCAGGGCACATACCCAGGTTGTGTGTTTGATCCCTGGTCATGGTGCATACTGGGGTGGTGGTGGGGACATTGGTGCTTCTCTCTCACATTAATGTTTCTCTCTGTCCTCCTCTACCTTCTTTAAAATTAATGAAAACATATCCTTGGATGAAGGTTAAAAATATGGGGGGAAATGGTGAATGAATACTGAAATAAAGCAGATCATGTTCTGTTTATTAGGCCTGGAATCCAGCTGCTGAAGATCAGTGCTTTGACAGATGCCATAGACTTGGCCAGAAGCAAGAAGTCATCATCACAAAAGTGAGTTTTGAAGCCATTTATCTTAAAATTAAGTTTTAAGGGTTTCCAAGTTATACAAATAATGCATGATTGTTTAAAATTTAAAAATAAATAAATATACACATTTGTATATGTATTTAAAAAATTTTTTTTAATCTTTATTATTGAGAGTATTATAGATGCCCCTCTTTTTCCCCTCCACCCAGTTCCCGCCCCACCCCAGGTGTTTGCCAGCCTATTGTCTATGTCAGTGGTCGGCAAACTCATTAGTCAACAGAGCCAAATATCAACAGTACAACGATTGAAATTTCTTTTGAGAGCCAAATTTTTAAACTTAAACTATATAGGTAGGTATATTGTTACTAACTTAATTAGGGTACTCCTAAGCTGGCCTTTGCTAAAAACGTCCTCAATCTGATTGAGGTACGCTCGCTGAGGTCGACCCCTTCCAACTCTCCCATCCACACTCATATACTTGTTTCGTCTATCTCCTTTTGTTCATCCTCTATATATGTCCACACCCACTTCTTCTAACGCCACTTCTTCAAAATAGACTCGCCCAGGCCGAAAACCAACTTCTGCACATGGGCCACGAAGTTTCAATCACACTAAATATGTGCGCCCGCATGTGGTATTTTGTGGAAGAGCCACACTCAAGGGGCCAAAGAGCCGCATGTGGCTCACAAGCCTCGGTTTGCCAACCACTAATCTATGTCCATAGGTAATGCATATATGCATATAAGATCTTTGTTTAATCTCTTTCCACCCCCCACACTCTTCCCTCTGAAAATCATCATTCTGTTTCATTTCCATGCCTCTGATTCTATTTTATTCACCACTTTATTCTGTTCATTAGATTTCTTATGTATTTTGATGTTTAGATTCAATTGTTGATAGAAATGTATTTATTGCCATTTTATTGTTTATATTTTCCTTCTTCTTCTTCTTCTTCTTCTTCTTCTTCTTCTTCTTCTTCTTCCTCCTCCTCCTCCTCCTCCCCCTCCTCCTCCTCCTCCTACTCCTCCTCCTCCTCCTCCTCCTCCTCCTCCTCCTCTTTTTCCTTCTCTTCTTAAAGAATACCCTTCAACATTTCATGTAATACTGGTTTGGTGGTGATGAACTCCTTTAGCTTTTTCTTATCTGTGAAGCTCTTTATCTGACCTTCAATTCTAAATGATAGCTTTTTTTTTTTAATCTTTATTGTTCAGATTATTACATTTGTTCCACTTTTTTCCCCCCATAGCTCCCCTCCACCCAGTTCCCACCCACCCTCTGCCCTTACCCCCCCCCCCACTGTCCTCATCCATAGGTGTACGATTTTTGTCCAGTCTCTTCCTGCACCCCCCACACCCCTTTCCCCCTGAGAATTGTCTGTCCTTTCCCTTTCTATGCCCCTGATTATATTATATTCACCAGTTTATTCTGTTCATCAGATTTTTTATTTACTTGATTTTTAGATTAACTTGTTGATAGATATCTATTTGTTGTTCATAATTTGTATCTTTACCTTTTTCTTCTTAATCCTCTTCTTAAAGAATATCTTTCAGCATTTCATATAATACTGGTTTGGTGATGATGAACTCCTTTAGCTTTTTCTTATCTGTCAAGCTCTTTATCTGACCTTCAATTCTGAATGATAGCTTTGCTGGGTAAAGTAATCTTGGTTGTAGGTTCTTGCTATTCATCACTTTGAATATTTCTTGCCACTCCCTTCTGGCCTGCATAGTTTCTGTTGAGAAATCAGCTGACAGTCATATGGGTACTTGTAGGTAACTAACTGCTTTTCTCTTGCTGCTTTTAAGATTCTTTGTCTTTAACCTTTGGCATTTTAATTATGATGTGTCTTGGTGTGTTCCTTTTTGGGTTCCTCTTGTTTGGGACTCTGTGCTTCCTGTCTATGTCCATAGGTAATGTGTATATTCATATAAGACTTGTAAGTCTAGCCGAAACCGGATTGGCTCAGTGGATAGAGCGTCGGCCTGCGGACTGAAAGGTCCCAGGTTCGATTCCAGTCAAGGGCATGTACCTGGGTTGCGGGCACATCCCCAGTAGGAGATGTGCAGGAGGCAGCTGATCGATGTTTCTCTCTCATCGATGTTTCTAACTCTCTATCTCTCTCCCTTCCTCTCTGTACAAAATCAATAAAATATATTAAAAAAAAAAAAAGACTTGTAAGTCTATTTCCTCCCAGGTAGTGGAAGTTTTCTCTCATTA